GGATCCAGAATTCTTTCTCCTCCATCATATTTCTGCTCGGTTTTCTTAAACATGGAAATGTACCAGGCTCTGGTGAAGCAAAAGAGGTAGTGTATAGTGCTTCTCCTGCCTTGCAGGGTGGGAACCAAGAATGCTCAAGAAATAGCACCAAACTCAGGGGTCATGAAAGGATAGTAATTGAAAGGTTCTATTCTGTAGTATTTAAAGATAAACTCTACCTAATTTTTTTTTTTAAAGTTGGAAAGTTTACAGGAGCTAAAACTCCTCTCCTGGCTCATAACATATTCCTCCTCCACCAAATTATATGGTAGCTTGTGCTACATTTCAATTTCTAAATAAATTGGTCTTCATTATTCTTGGATTCCTGACAGAAATTAATGTTTCAGAATTAATGTTTTGCATTCTGCCTCTTTGCACGTTTATACAAATTACTCAGTGTTATTGTCAATGAATTAATTATAAAAGGATTTGTGTGAAGACTTCAGCATACCTATGTACACTTGTTTTGGTTTTTTTTTTTATTAGTAGTAGGGCTCATTTATTTTTTATTAATAATTACAACTTCACATTGGTTTCATTTGTGGTTTTGGAATTAACCTGCCTTGGGGAGTTGTCATGAGAATTAATGCCCATGAAGTAGGTAAAACTATGCCTAGTGCATAGTTGAATACCAGTGTCTCCAAATTACCAATGAGAACAGTGNTTTTTTTTTTAAGAAGACTTAGATAAATTCCATGATAATGTATGGTTACTAAGTTGAGGGGTAGGAACTCCTATTTATGGTAGGGAGAAGCCTCCCTCCCCACCTTGAAAATGGCATTTCCATAAGTGCCATTGAACATTCATTTGTTCGCCAAATATTTATTAAGTACTCACTGTGCCAGGCAAAACATTTGGTCGTGTGTTTGCAGTGTGAAAATTCTTATCTCTTTGTGGGGATAGTTTTTATGGACTGTACAGTATTCAGTGCTCATTTTTAGAATTCTGTGTCTCTGACTATTAGTGAAAAAAGATGGTAGCACAATTATTGAGCATTTTCAACCCCTGGTAACATGTCTAAAAATATCAAGTTCTGGTTATATCCTGGATCCAGAATTCTTTCTCCTCCATCATATTTCTGCTCGGTTTTCTTAAACATGGAAATGT